GTCACCGCATAAACCATTCCTGTATAAAAGTATCGTGTTACCATGGGGAGGAGACGATGCGAGAGAAGAAGAGTGAAGGGGCCCCCGTATTAAGAGAGGGACCCACGCGGTACCGGGAAGGGCACGTACCTGGGCTGGAGCTATTATGCATTTGGGCGGTGGGGTCCTACGGGCTACGAGGTGGGTTCTTCCAGGAGGTGGTGGTGGCGGCCGGAGACAAATGCTAGGACGCCATGGCGACATCCTGGTTGCTCCGATGGTACCAAAGTGGTACCACTTGGATACCAGGGAAACCAGGACCAGAAATCGTTCCTGGCTGCGTCCTGTTGCGCCTGTCCGACTGACTTCGATGATGTACTGCCTATTTTGTTCTTTCTCTTTTTACTTTTTTTTTCCTCTCTTTCTTTCGCTCACTTTCTTCCTACGCTTCTTACGTGATCCCCGTCCGTACCTCTGGTACTCGCGCTGCTACTCATTGGTACTCGTTCACTCTCGTAAGCGGTTTTTCTTTTATTTTATGAATAATGTAGTGACCGGGGCTACCGCCCTCTCCTCCTCCGCCCCTGTCGCAACGAGCAGGGACACCGCTGCGCGTGGGACGCTACGTGACTCCTGCCGGCTCCCTGCATTAATCTAGATCGTAGTATTATATTACCAGTGTCTTCTTATTGGCATTCCGTTTACCCCCGGGCGAGATACGGAGGCTGCAACTCGGCCCTGGACCATTTTCGCGGGAAATTTTTTAAATTATTTATTCGCTTCGGATATCGCGACCCGAGGATCAAGGGTGGTGGAGGAAATGACGTATGTAAATTTTTAAAGAAAATTTTGAATTTTAATTTTCCCTCTATTGGACTTGAAATATTTTTCTTGCACGCGAATTTTTCGCGAGGTCAAAGTGCAGCGCGAGCTCAGGTGCGCTGTATATTTTGGAGAGAGTGCATCGCTGCAAAATCACACCGGGCACGCAGTACTTTTTTTATCAGTGATGTATATATATATATATACGCATGCTTGTATATGGGGAGATAATTTACGGCGGCGCGCTTTAAGCGTTCCTTCCCATTCGAGTTTGCGTCCGGCGCGTCGATCGAAGGAACGCAGGAACGCAGGAACGCAGGAACGCAGGAACGATGGAACGAGTTGGCGTAAGTGCAGTGCCAAGTATGCATATAACTGCACCGGGTGGCCAGCTTTGTATGCAGGCGCTGACTAATGCGTCGGGAACACGACATCGCAAGGTGCCTTTGGGATCTGTATCAAGGACGCTAAGGGCGTATCTTGCAAAACCGGGTTCGAGGCCAAATATATGTATATACATATATATAAACGTTATAATATGCATCATGTTCCACTGTGCCTATAAGAGCATATAGGCATCATCATTAATGATAAGACACCAGCTCCTTCTGATCTTTCCTGAATCCTTATGCTCCTTATCATCCAAGGTAGATGTATATATACTAGCCGTATTATCTCCATAATATTTTTATGATTCGCGGTCCGTTGAATCTTTGAAAAAAAAATAAATAAATTTCACGCTTTACCTAATTCTCACAATTTTTCACTCTCGCCTCGCCGTTGATTTCCTAGCATTGGGTCATCAGCATTTTTCACTATTGACTTTCGGCTGGACCACGTCCAGCCCACAGTGTGTAACTTCGTTTTGGCAACCGGTTGCCGACAGTTGACTGTCGAAGAAAATTTATTCGAAAAATTGTACCGCGATCTCATCATAAGAAATCTCTGGTAGTAGTTTCCCCCCCTTTTTTTTTCGTTTTTCCGTTCTCTCGTCCTTCTCCTCTTTTCTGCCCGTTCCACTTAGCGCACCCGGTATAAGAAACCGCCGGAAGACAAATCATCGACGGCCTCCTCCCGGGCGTCGGCGTCGCGACGTCGTCTTCGTCGATGCGTCGTTATGAAAATGATATTCACGTCTCTGGTCGCGAATGGACCAGGTCGGGCGGAACTCGATTTTTTGAAAAAAAAAAAAAAAAAAAAACCTGACTCGAGATTTCGACTGTAGCTTCGTCTCTGTTTCTCTCCATACGTAGCCGCTCGTTGGTCATGCCGTTTTTTTCCTGACCGACACTTTGTTTTTGTCTCCTTTCAAATGCTTCTTGCCCGGACTCGCGTATTTGCTCAGCCATTTATTTCTTCCTTTCGGCTGTACATAACTTGACAGCAGGATTCTTTGAGTAATCGCGACAGTGAGAACGCTTCGCGATATTTCTGGCGTGTTACGCGTATCGAAAATTGTTTTTTTTTTTTTTCGTTCTCCGCCCCCCCTGCTCTCGCCTAGGATCTCAGAAATTCCCAGAAATTTCATTCTGACATCCAACTCTTCCTCGTTAAGGCTTTATCGCTCGTTCTCATGAGACGAAGAAATTGTACTGTCGCAATCTGCTCCTTGTCTTTTATTGAGTTTCGCTGAATACGGACTTTACTGGTTTCCTATCTTGTAACGGCTAATCATAATGGTCCATTTGACTGGGACGTGGTAGCGGAGTACAGCTGGCACTGACGGCAGCAGAAATCAGTAGTCACCCTGTGGCCACTGGGTATCCGCGGTACCGGCAGGCCGGACTAATAGCACCGGCCAACAGGTTACGTTATGGTGCCGCCATCTTTTGCAACGGTATATATAATGCCATCGACGTTTTTTCGCTACGGCGAATCTCCCGGGAAAGGCGACCTCGCAAACGGCCGACAAAAAAGGTCGAGGGTGTTGCGCAACGCGTTCGAAGACTCTCGCGAAGCTCCTTTTTATTTTTCTCTCCGTTCCGCTCGCAAAGTTCCTGTCGGTTCGTGAGATGAAACGATCGATAAAAAGTCACGGGAAAAAGAGCAAGTTTTACTCTTCGCTGAGTGAGCGACGCCCGGATCTTGGAATTTCTAGGCTGCTCTGGACCATCGATGGCCGTACGAGAAGCAACGGACAGATTTGCGTCATCGTCAATTTTTCAAAGAATTTTTTTTTTTTTTTTTTTTCAAAATTTCCAATTCGTCTTTTAACGGATCCCTCTTGGGATTTTCAAAAAATTTTTTTTTTTTTTTTTTTTTCAAAATTTCCAATTCGTCTTTTAACGGATCCCTCTTGGGAGGACCCTACGTGAGCACGAGATTATGGCTGTCGTTGCAATTAAGAAAAAAAAAACGTAAACGTACGTTCATTGAAAATTGGCGCATTAGCATTAAAAAAAGGACAAAGAAAAGAAAAGATGAAAAAAACAGACTCAAAAGAGAAACACAAAATATTGGCGGGTCTCCACCGCAAAGCAGGAACCACGTGCTGCCGCATGAATGTTGCCGAGTGTGTGAACGCACGGCAAGTGGTCCCCACAGTGCACTAGACGTGTTTTCATTTCTCTCTCTCTCTCTCTCTCTCTCTCCCTCTCTCTTCCTCCCTTCTCCTCTCGTCCCTCATCCTTTTCCACAAAAGCCACCGTTCCGTTTCCATTGTGGCGAATTGTGTTCAGCCGCGACTCGCTTTCGCTCCCGCGGGAGTCTCCGGCGCCCCTAATAACGTAACGCATATGCTCCTAACATCCTGTAAAACTCAGCGGGTCGTCCCGGTGCCGGGAGTCGCGGCGCATCGGCGTCGCATCGGCGTCGCATCGGCAACGTGTAACGCGTCTGAAAATATTTGAATGAGCCTCCCCGCCCCTCCCGGGGAGTAAGGGCGATTAGGTGACCGAGGGGAAGAGCGAGCGAGACATGGTCCATTCATGGGCACGGAGCCTAAGGGTCTTGGGGGCAGCAAGACCCAGGTGAGTTCAGGAACAGCTTGAAATTGTTGCTTAGAGAAGACGGTGAAAGAAGGAAGAGGTGGAGGGGGGGGCACAGGAAGTGGGGATAGAAAGGGCAGACCTTGTTTGTGGGATTCTCGGATTTTTATATTCAGGTTGGGTTAGGTTGACGCACGATTATCCAACCGCGTCTAGTCGGATCCGATTAGGCAAAAATCTGTCGGTTACTGTGTACCCCCCTCCGGCCTCCTCAAGTTCCCTGCTGCTTAGACATTTCCCTTTTGTTCCGGTTGCACCTCGTGGCTCCGTTTCCCCAGGTAATCGCCGGGTCAGGTTAGGCTGCATCGATGCCTTTGCTTACCTATCCAATGGGATCAGGAGCCGTGACCTTAGCCGTGGATGACCCCCTTAACCCTCCTTCGGTCTACTACAATGGGATTCGGAGTCAAGAGAGCTTCGCTGGGGATTTACACGTTTCTAATCCGTTAGATTAGGTTAGATTAGGATTGCGGTCAATTCATGGGACGTGCTCATTGAATTTGACAGATTTAACTTGACTATTTGTATGTCGAGGGTGAGATCCCTATGGGGACGGATGGTTTCAGTCGGGTGGCCTGATCCCCCTCAGGACTCCGGTCCTCGTTCAGGGCACTTGATAACTCAAGTGGGCCCATTTTTACTTGTTTACGTACCTTCAAGACCTTGCTCCCTCGGTAGGTACGTACCTGGGCAGGTTCCTTGGCTGGAGCCACGTGAAATTCATAATGTAGCCAAGTAATCAAGAGACGTGCGAGAGAGAGAGAGAGAGAGAGTGAGAGAGCCGGAGAAGAGCTCTATCGAGGTCAGTAGCAAAGAATGTAATATATTTGTAAGGCAGGAGGTGGACCCGTTGGCTCTCTGTAGCTGCAGGTTAGGTTAGCTTGTGGGATAGGTAGGTAGGCAGGCAGGCAGAGAAGAGGATATCAAACAGATAGGGAGTCGGCGTCCGTAATGGAGACCGTAGGCAGCCGCTAATGCAGTAGCTATGTCAACGTAAGCCCAAGAGGGAGTTGGGCCTCAGGGCCCAGTTTTCTGATCCTTCACACGTACGCACACCAGGGCCTCCTTCCTATCCTTACGAATTACCTGGGTATGAATCCAAATAAATAAAGAGTCGGAGTGGCCACGTGGTACACGTTGCCCGTGACAAGTTCACTGTTCTTGTTCGATTAAAGAAATTTTTGTTAAATTTTTATTTTCTTCGAATTTCAGAATGTTCGGCGGCATGAAGAGGTGCTCCCGATGCCAGGCGGCCATCTTGGCCTCGGAACTTGTGATGAGGGCCCGCGAACTTGTTTTCCACGTGAGGTGCTTCTCGTGCGCGGCCTGCACCATCCCCCTGACCAAGGGCGACCACTTCGGCATGAGGGACGGCGCCGTCCTGTGCAGACTCCACTACGAGATGGGGGCGGATTTGCATCCCTCGCAGAGTCCACCGGTTCCTGCCTATCCCCCAGGACCCCATTACCCTGGACAACCGTTTCCATCCCCCGAATTCCTCCACCACCATCCCCACGGGCCCCACGGGCCTCATCCCCATCACTCGATGCATCCTCAGCATCCCCATCAGCACACGCACGTCAGTCCCGTTCCTCTGCAACCGGCCACCCCCTCGGGACCGGATGCTGGGTCGCCACCCAAGGTTCCCTACTTCAACGGGGCCGCTGCGGGGGTGCCGCCACCCAGACAGAAGGGCCGACCCAGGAAGAGGAAGCCGAAGGATCTGGAGGCCATGACAGCCAGTCTGGGTGAGTAAGACCTCAGTGAAATCGTTGAATTTTACGTGTACAAGAAAAAAAAAGAAGAATTGTTCGCGACAAAAAGGGCTGCCACATAGATGGCGTCGCTGTAGGATAATTTTTATAAGGTTCCTGTTTATTCAGCGAAACTCTCGGCGTCTCGGTTACTTTTTGTCGTTATATTTCTTTAGCACCTCTCGCCTCCGTCATTACCGTCCGTATCCTTTTGGTACGCTCTGAGAATTTTCTTAGCCAAACGCCCGATGCCTCTGACACTTTTTCAAGGCGACTCGTTCCTCGATACCGACAACATAATTTTTTGGTCTACTGAACCCGATTGGTGGTCGGTCGCGTGTCGCTACACGAGAATGAACCTCAGGGCGGCGTCCTGACGTCACGCTTTATCGCCCTGTCGGCGTCCGGTCGCGCACGCAGTCCTCAACGCGGACGACCAGGACGACCAAGTCGTTCGACATCGACGATCGGAGGGGGGAGCCTTTGATTTCTTAGCTAGATATCAAGGAGCCATAACCTAACCCAACCCTAAACCAGAGAGAATTCCACGTTCGGCCAAACGACGTATTCTCGACTCCTGGCAACGTTCCATTTTCATATCTCAATTTTCCCATCTCGAAAATGCATAGCCACAGTATTTTTTTTCCACGTCCCACGGTATATATAGATCGAAAAATAAATGTGCTATATATATATATATATATATATATATATATATATATATACGTAAATAGGTATACGCGAGTGCGTGGACGCGCGTGTGGGATTAAACAGGGTCCTGAAAGTGTCTCCGGTGGTAGTACGCGTCCCGGGACACGCCCGAGACAAGTAACATTACCCACGGGGCATAAAAGTGTTGTAGCAGTCCGAAGAGCCGATCACAATCGGCAACGACAAGAAACCTCTTGGCCAGGGACACCGGTACTACATTTCACATATAGATATATATTATCCCGGCGGGCCAAAGTGGAAATTGGCGCTCTAGCGGCGAAAAGCAGAACTGCCCCGAGACTCCTCCGTCTCGCGAACGACAACCGACAAGAAGAAGAACCGTTCGGCTCCCCGTTCGGCTCCCCGTTCGGTTCCCCGTTCGGTTCCCCAGAGTTCCACAGTTCCAGATTCGAGTGGCGGCCTCGCGGTGTGTCCTGGTGATTTACGGGTGCGCGTGGGCGTGCGCCGTTTGCCACCGAACCCTGATAAAATTTGTCGGCGCGACATAAATTCACGTATATACTCGGGCGCACGGATACAGAACTAAAGGAGATACAAAAACAGTGCGCGTAGGTGGGCCCCCGCTTACGGCCTGGACGATCCGGAGACAATTATTCTTGTATGGGTTAGGAATATCGTGGGAACGAATTCGAGGGACGCTTTAAGAGCTTGCCAGCAGCTTTCGTGTTTTTCAATATTACTTTGGTAACACTTATTTTCTACACGCCCGCTATAAGAGTGACAGCCGAGAATTCATGGGTCTTCGCGATAAACGGCTCTACAGTCGCATCGCGGTGTCCTAATCTGTATGTACAGGACGTTCCAATCAAGCCAAACCCGTGTTCGTGTGTCTTTCATGAAATTATCGTGCCTAATCGTAAACCCGTTGAAAGGCTCCTGAATCAATTATCGGTAACCGCTGCGGACGTTCCGAGTCCTTATTTTCATGAAGCTTCGGGGTGGCTCGATGGAAGTTGCTTACGTTGAGAATTATCGGTCAGTAATTACTGGTTCTGAACTCGAGCGAAGCGTCAGCGTTTACATAGTACAGTGTGCGCGCGCGCTGCGATCTACAGGATGTGGAGCGGCAGTTGCCTACAGTGCGGTATAGGGTGAAATACCTAGAGGGAATTCAATGTAAGTTATACAAAAGCACTGTCGCTTCGCTTCAACTGTCTCTTATGGGCTGGTTCTTATTTGTATATAGTATATAGTATATAGACGTACAGTGAGCCATGACTCTAGCACTGTTCGATGCGTATCATAGCTCATTAGCTCCTCCGTGTGCAAACGAAAGGCACGATAGCGCCACCACGGGGAACGACGGAGACACGAGCAATTACAACTCTATGCGCAGCAAATAGTTTGTTAGGCACGAGATAGCCGACCAGACTATTTACGAGTCAATTTCCACGCTGCCTGCCCTTCGCTGTCTCCTTTCACGTTATTCTGCCGTTCACTTTGCTGGGTGGAAAAATTAATTTTGACAATAAAAAAAAATTTGGTTTCCCCTCGAAACCGGGCGCTGCTATCGCAGGGCATCCGACTTTGTGCTATTTTTACATTCTAATCGTGTAGCTCCGAGCTTATTGTTATTGTATAATCACACCTACCGATAAGATGTAACATTTATTTTGACGTTGCACGGTTATCGGGGTCTTTTATTATTATTTCTTTATCAGGAGGTTAGGAGTGCTCGATTGGACGGCTTTTTCATGCGTTTACTCAGGGTTGACGGTGAATTTTGTATTATTCCTCCATGCGACGATCGATCGTTGTTCAGGAGGAACGATTAATTTTTCTTTGACGAAACTTGAAGATGATCCAGAATAATTGAGGTTTCTTCCTTTGGACTGTTACAGATCTCAATGCCGACTATATAGACATGCCCTTCGGTAGGGGTGGTCCAGGGACACCGGGGATGCCAGGATCAAACAGTCGAACCAAACGGATGAGGACGAGCTTCAAGCATCATCAGCTCAGGACGATGAAGAGCTACTTCGCCATTAATCATAATCCTGACGCGAAGGACCTCAAGCAGCTTTCGCAGAAGACCGGCTTGCCGAAGAGGGTGCTTCAGGTAAGCATTTATTAACTTTGAACTAGCCTGTAAAAACACAATGGTTTTGGCATATGGGAAGTACAGGCGTCTCCGACGGCTGACGAGAATATTTTTCACCGGTGCGAAATCGCGACTGTGGTCCAGCCTCTACAGGCTGCTTCATAGAAGCGCAGGGTAGGGCCGACCGAGAGATTTGAAAAGAGCTGTAAGCGCCGGGCATAAATTTGAGGCTGGATCCTTTTGAAATATCTCGGCGTGTCGCGTAGACCCTATAAAAATATTCACGGTGCCTCCTCAGCATCCCCAGCATCCCCAGCATCCTCCCGCTGCTCTCTCCTCCCTGTCCCTATAAGCGGTATATATACCGCTTCCCAATTAGTGCCTCCTGGTGTAGGCGACGGCGCTTTTTGGTCGGCGTCCGTGGATCGACGTCGACGATATTTCCGTCGACGCCGAAGCTTTTCTCCGTAACTACGGCCCTCCGTCACTCGGGCGACTTCGAAGTCCGACGGAGCGCGAACCGGCTGCTGGCTTGAGTCGCTGCGAGAGAAAAAGACAAAGAGAAGGAAAAAGAGGTGGGAAGAAGGGGGGAGGTCGAGCAAAAGGATGCAGTCGAAATAAAAAGAAAGGAGGTAGAGTTGAAACGTAGAAATTACATGGACGAGCCTGACGCTCCGTGGG